GGCTTGTATTAAAACCCGCTCGAAAAGGAGAGGTAAAAAGTGAGTTGTGTTTGGTTGGTCCAAAATTAGGTTTAGGCCCTACTATTTTCGATTCCATTACGGTCACTCCGCACCAGTTTGACAGGCAGATTCGAAATGGGTTTAAATTATCATTAGCCATCGGGAGCGTGTCGATACTTGCTTTTATCCTAATTGATTAAATGTTAATCTTAATTAAGATGTCTTGAATCAATGTATGAACAAGAGAAATGCACAGCTCGTACTAATTTCGAATACTCAGAAAAAAGATTTGAAAGGGTTTAACATTGCTACTGATAAAGTGATTTGTTGCGCAAGCAATCATATTGACCTTTGGCATAAATATTGTATAGAATCTTCAAATTGTATTTCTGCAATATAGAGCCAGGCCATGCAAAAAAAAACATGAATTTTGTTGGCGATCAAGTAATCAACAATTAGCATAGCTACAAAGAAAGGAAGCTCATCTCTGCTTCGAAAAGTGAAAAAAAAATCGATGTACTTTAGAGTGCCACCTTGCGGTGGTAAGTACGCTTTTTACAAGGAAAATATTGGTAGAATTATACCACACACTTAGAAAAATTCAAGTAAACTTAGGTGCTCTGAGATTGACATATACGAGCGTCAATTTTGGTTGAGAACAGACGCGAAATATAGCTCAATCAAACGTACTTTTCGGCGAGCAACGAACTTTTCAGTCTCGCAGCACTTAATATTATATGACATGTTTAATTACGTCTCATCTTTTATGTCAATGACGGATTCCGTCACGTGTAAAATTAGTTATTTATTAGTGAGATGCCATACTTATTAGCAGAGATGCCATACTTACAGACATGTCTGTGAATTTACAGACTTTTATTTTTTTGCACAGACATTTTTTTGTTACAGACATTTATAGACTTTTAAGTTTTTTCACAGATATTTACAGACTTTTGTAATCAAGGGAAAATTTTAAAATGTATTTGGTTACACCGTTTTACATCTTTAGTCAAATTACACGTGCGATGCATTTTGCAACAGGCATTAGAAATTTCAAATCCACCACAAGAACGAGCTGTCACTGTTATAGACGGTCATAGTTATAGACCTGTCAATATGCTGCCGTGTTGAATACAAAACGAACATTTTCCATACGATTTGACGGTTTGTTTGGATACGTCAACTCACGTCTATTACTTGACTGTCTATAGTCACTGTCACTGAAAAAGTGAATGAAACGGACAGTTTGTTTCTATCCTATTCCATTTTTTTTATTCGAGGACACCCACCCCCAGATGCAGTTTTAGTGAACAAAGCAGCCATTTTCACCGTTTTGTACCTGAATAAGAGTCGTAATAATGTGGAAAAAATCGATAAAAAAAACAAAAGGAACTCGAAAGGAAACCTCATAACGAACTTTTTCAAAGGATCAGGTAAGCTATAAGTAATGTTTGTTTCATTTCTGAGTCTCAGTATTATATTTGTGTAGGCACTGCTGGTCCAAATCGTTCCGATGCTTTATCCAAAACTGCTGGTCAGAATCAATTCGTCGATGATCCGAGCTGATCCACCGCTCCTTCCTCAACTTCAGCCGTTGTGCTCATTTTTTCTTCCATAAATAAATTTCAATGAAGTTTTATGGAAAATCAATATAAATACTTGCACTAATCATAATGTTGAGCTTCATGTAATTTGAGGTTTCGCACGATGAATTTCGGCGCATGTCAGAATCCGTCCACTTTCCGGGGGTAAACGGTACATCTGATAGAGACCATTATGATCATTGGGTCTGAATATGTCCACCTCTTATAGTAAAATTATATTGTGATTTGAGGTGTCACATGATGAGTTTTTGATACATCAAATACATACATACATCATCATAATTCCGAACAGGAAAAAAAATCAAAAGCGATCTATGGGGATCTGAAACAGTGTGAGTTACACTTATACGAACTTACATATATATATACACACATACAGAAACATTTTCCGATCCCGGTAAGATGAGTCTATTGGTATATGCCATTCGTCTCTCCGGGTCTTGCAACGAAATTGTGTTTTTCAAGTGATATCATAGCCTTTCGGTACACCTTGGTGTACGAGAAAGGCAAAAAGGTTGGTATCAGCAAATTGTGTTATATTTAGCCAAGTTTTTCTCCCCCAGGTGTGTACTTATTTTGCAAAATGAAATGAATACGTTGCTTATAATGTCTTATTTTATAACTGTATTTGTAAAATCATTAGAACAGTGTTAGTGTTTAGCGCCAATTCATTGTACTTGGCTTCATTGTTTAGTACTCTCCATTTCTCGATGATCTTTATTTCGATATTCCTTCCTATTTGAATCAGTTCAATAACCCTGATCCTGATTCATCAACACTTTTTGAGTAAGAAGTGTTTAGAATCGTATTAATAAGCTTATAAATTGCTCTTTTGAAAGCGGTGTTGCTATTTATGTCAAAAAATCAGTTCAATTCAACCTTCGTACCAACGGAGTTATTGATGGAAATTGGTTCTTGGGCATTACAGTTGTACGTGGCATGAAGATGGGTAATTATGGTTTTTTGTATCATTCTCCCAGTTCTAGTTACCAGCGTTTTGTTGAAGTTTTAGAGAACTGGCTCGAGACATTCCTTGATTCTAGTAAATTAGATATATTGGCTGGTGATTTTAATATTAATTGGCGTGATAACCATAATTCAAATCATTTGAAGCGTTAAGCTGAGTTTTTTAATTTAAAGCAAACGGTAAGAGAATATACGCGTATTTCCAGGCACAGAAGAACTTTAATTGACCACGTTTATTCCAATTTTGATTCCATTTGTTCAGTTACGGATACTGATTTGAAAATAACCGATCATGAGACTTTAGTGATTAATGTCTCAGACCAAGTTAACGATAACGATAATTTTGTAAAATTGAAGTGCTGGAGGAAATATTCGAAGCAAACCGTTTCAAATCTTGTTGAGAGGAGCCTGGATTTTCCATTCGCGGCCTGTAACTTAGATGAATCTACAGCTGTTCTTAATAAGGCTTTGAAAACGTGTACCATTCAACTAGTTGAGCAAAAGTTTGTTTCTTTGAAAAACTCGAACAGCGGGTACAATTTGGATCTTTTGCGTCTTAAACCTTATTAATAAATCATTGCAGAATAGACATGTGTCACAAATTTGGAAGGAATCCTTAGTGGTTCCTATTCAAAAAATTGCTGGAACGATGAAAGCCGAAGAGTTTCGTTCCATCAACATGTTGCACACATTAGAGAAAATCTTAGAACTTGTTGTTAAAGGCCAGCTGTTGGAGTATTTGAATAGCAACTCTTTGTTGATACCAGAACAATCGGGATATCGGGAAGGTTATTCTTGTGAATCTGCGTTGAATTTGATGTTAGCAATGTGGAAAGACAACATGGAGCGTAAAGATACGAATGTTGCAGTTTTTTTGGATCTGAAACGCGCTTTTGAAACAATTGCTATGCCCTTATTGTTAAGATCAATCAAGCGCTTTGGAATTACGAGTACTGCATATAAATGGTATGAAAGCTATTTGTCTCACAGAACTCAACGGACTGTTTTTAATGATTCTGTTTCCAGTCGCGTGGGGAACAACCTTGGAGTTCCCCAGGGAAGTGTATTAGGGCCCCTGTTATTTATTATGTATATTAATGACTTGCGACGTGTTTTACGGTTTTGCGCCATTAATCTTTTTGCAGATGATACTGTGTTATTCATTGCAGCTAAGGATTTAGAAATTGCCGTCTCACACTTGAATGAAGATTTGCATTATCTAAGTAGATGGTTGAAGAATAAGCAGTTAAAATTGAATACAAGTAATACTAAATTTATGGTAATTTCGTGGAATTGATTAAATGAGAACGTCTCTGTTGTAATTGATGATGAGACTATTGATCGCGTTCAGGAGATTAAATATCTTAGCGTGATTATTGATGACAAACTTAAGTTCATCTCTCACAATGACAATGCCATCAAAAAAATTGCCAAGAAGTATGGAATTCTATGTCGACTGAAAAACGATTTAACTATTGCCAGTAAAATACAGCTATACACATCAATCATCTCTCCTCATCTTGAATTTTGCCCTTCGATTTTATTTCTGGCCAATGCAACACAAATATCGAGATTACAGCGCTTGCAGAGTTAAATAATGCGTTTGATATTGAGATGTAATAGATTCCCTTCCTCAACTTTGATGCTAGATGCCTTACAATGGTTGTCGGTGAAGCAAAGAATTGTATATTTGACTATGGCGTTCATTTTTAAAGTGGTTAACGGTTTGCTGCCTCAATATTTGTGTGATCGAATTGAAAGAGGAAGTGATTTTCCTAGATATTATACTAGAAACGCGGATGAAATAAGAACACCACATTTCTTGACTTGTGCTTCACAGAATTCATTATTTTTTAAAAGAATAAATGTTTTCAATTCGATGCCTAGACATGTCAAACGTTTAGCAACTTTTACAGAATTTAAATGACACTGCATTTCACACGTTAAAGCAATCTTTTGAACAGTTATCCAGAGATTTTTATTATGAATTGACATATCATGCATCTGGACGAAGTTATCTCTAGCGGATTATTTTATATGAATAGCTGTCATAACGACTTTTTTTTTTAATAAGTATTGTAGCACTGCAAAAACTATTTCTGTTCGCCACGATGGTGATGATGGATTTTGAATATTTGATTTAATAGTAGATTAATTTAAAAAAGTAGTCTACAAAGGGGTCTGAATTTAACATTTGATAAAAAAAATGAAACTTGAAGTTTACTTTGAAACTCTTATGGCCCCGGAACCGCTTAATCCCAGAAGGGAACCAGCCTAAGCCCCGAGCTGATGGTCTTAAGCCAACGGCAGCTCCTGGGGTGGGCACTCAAGGCCTCTTTTGGTTCCGGGTCCCAGGGCGTTTTTGCGTGGGGAAGCTTTCGGATTGTGGGGAATTCCTATCCAACTATAAAAGTGGAATTTACCTTACATTTATTTGTTATGCGAACCAATATGATGAGCTTGGTATTGTCTAGATGGTGGCGGCCAGTTAATGACAGCCGGATGTTGGGGACCAGATGGCGGCAGCCCAATACCGTATGGTAGCAGCCTTAGGGAAGCACCCCTATGGCGGTGGCCGTATGGCGGTGACCGGATGACGGTGCCCGGATGGCGGTGCCCGGATGGCGGTGCCCGGATGGCGGTGCCCGGATTGCGGTGCCCGGATGGCGGTGCCCGGATGGCGGTGCCCGGATGGCGGTGCCCGGATGGCGGTGCCCGGATGGCGGTGCCCGGATGGCGGTGCCCGGATGGCGGTGCCCGGATGGCGGTGCCCGGATGGCGGTGCCCGGATGGCGGTGCCCGGATGGCGGTGCCCGGATGGCGGTGCCCGGATGGCGGTGCCCGGATGGCGGTGCCCGGATGGCAGTGCCCGGATGGCGGTGCCCGGATGGCGATGTCCAGATGGCGGTGCCTAGATGGCGGTGACCGGATGACGGTGACCTGATAACAGTGGCCTGATGGCGGTGGCTTGCGGACGATGATCTGATAGTCGCTGTCTGATGGCGTCGTTCTGTCCTCTAACCAACGATCTTCATCTTCCTGCCGTGACGCGAACCTCGTGCTTCGCATCTTCCGTCCACTACCGTCTCTACCATTATTCCACCGCACGTCTGCCTAGAGGCAACGCTACACACCCACAATCGTTATCGGTTCTACCGTTCGCAATTTAAATTGGAAGTTTGCTGAACAAATGGTGCCCTACGTTCCCACACAAAATAAAAATACAAAATGTTACCATTTAGGATGGTAACATATCCCCTTCTGGTCGGGTAAAAGAAGCGTTTTACAAAATGGTTCTTTTTATAGTCAATCTATCTACTATTAATTCAATAAGCAAGTCAAAATGCAAGACATCACAACGAAAGATCAGTGGCTACTAAACATCAACAAATAGTTACTTTCTATAAAATTGAAGCAATGCATATTGTTCGCAGATGTATGCAACGAGTATTCACTCTGAGATCAAAACTTCAACAATTGCAAACACTTCTAAAATAATACGAATGTTTGAAGGGTGGATCCATTCTAATCAACAAAACACTAAAAGCAGCTGAATGTGCTGATCGTACGAAGGATCATCGAGAACTAATTCCTACCATGATCTACGTTGGCATAGTTTGCTCTATTTGAGCGATTGGATACGAGAGCAAAATTGATCTTATTTACCAACACCGATTCCGCAGCAAGATCAGAGGTCACAAATTGTGAAATAAATCGTTCGCCGGGAATTTGTTTGGTTGAGTGATCTGTGCTCTCGCTTTAGTCCCTATATATTATAATTCCAATGGGATATGGTTGTGTGGTGGCACCACCACTTCCAGTGATCGACACCAATTATGTCCGATCCACGCAATACCAACTTGACTCTCAATCACCGATGATTGGAGCTCACGCGCGAGTTGGTGAATGTCGAAAACCGTGATTCGAAGACGTCTCCTCGAAACAACGGCTCGACGATTTCGTCGAGAATATTTCTTGATCATGCCTTCTGATTTTCAACTATTTTCGCTCCACGAATTGATAATCTGGATATAGCTAGATTCAAATCAAAGGCTAAAGGTTAGAATCTTCTAGAGACCTGGAACGACTGAACCATTTACACAGTCTCATTCGAGAATAAAAACCAAAACCAGCATTTATTGGCGGGATGTGTTCTAGGGAAATATTAAGCTTTGTGTTTGGTCTTTAGAAAAAAAAACAACAAGAGGTTGGAGCTTATGTTCAACCTTTGTGTTTTCAAAGCAATTGACCGACAATTGTAATTTGCTCTATCTGACACTCAAATGAAAATCAGGCAATACCTAAATTGAAAGCGGTAGACATGTTTGATTTTATTTCAAATAAGGTATGTTGGGTTTAAATAGGCAAAGAGCTGAAAATGAATCTAATTGATCTTCAACATATCATCGAAGTACTGATCATTAAATACAAAAAATGACTACAATAACCAATTTTATGTATAAATCATGTTCAAAGAAAAAACTTTGTTAAGAAGCCTATGATACGAAACGAAAACATAATAAATGACATCACAATCAATACTTATTTACACTAACAAACTAAGCACATTGGCTTTTTTAGCTTAGGAAATTTACTAAGTTATCAATTCATTTATTGTTCTAGCAAACGTATAAATGTCTACCAACATATGTACATAAACATGCGACAAGGTATTCTAGGCCTCTTGTTTCAGTATAACTGTGACCATTGTTGGGCGACAAATCGGTCGATTCCTTGTGGATCTGCTTTGCCGAGGTTAAATGAAATTAATTCGCAGTAAAAGTGTCATAGCACATTTTCATTACACTTACGCGCTCGAATAATCAATACAAATTTAGTGATTCTAACACCACAAACCCGAAAAATTAAGAATAGTTCGGAAGTAATCGGTAACTGTCTGGATTGGCGAAGAGTTTACTCATGTTGTCGTTTTACGATCAATCGGCATGTAACAATATATATACCTGAATCAACCACCGTGAAAGCTAACAAAACCACTGATCATTCGATCCGATGCGACCAGAACAGGAATTTTGAGAGAATCTATTACTTTCTCGAAAACCCCCCCAACGCTTATGGAGAAAAAATATCCTAGGATATTTTTTCTCTCCTAGGAACCATGAATGGATTTTTTTTTGCGTTGGGCGCCAGTGAAACTCTTATGGCCCCGGAACCGCTTAATCCCAGAAGGGAACCAGCCTAAGCCCCGAGCTGATGGTCTTAAGCCAACGGCAGCTCCTGGGGTCAAGGTTGCAAAGACTCATTTCAGCTAAAATAATGTTTTTCGGAATAATAAAACCAAAAGATGGTATGATGGCATGTTTTACTTATAACTTACAAGAAGAGGTTACAAAGTATGCGTTGGAAAGATAAAACCTGTAAATTTTGCTTTCTATGAGTCACAATCAGCGATTTGCTGATCGCTGAGTGAGTGAGTGAGTGAGTGAGTGAGTCTGTGAAATATCGCTGATTGTGACTCTCATGAAGTGAAATAAACAGGTTTAATATGTCAAACACATTCTTTGCAACCTCTTCTTGTATCCTACCAATTCAAAATTTGATCATGGCATCTAATTATTTCATAATTTAGAAAAACATTGTTTTAGCTTGTTTTAGTCTTTGCAACCTTGCCTGGGGTGGGCACTCAAGGCCTCTTTTGGTTCCGGGTCCCAGGGCGTTTTTGCGTGGGGAAGCTCTCGGATTGTGGGGAATTCCTATCCAACTATAAAAGTGGAATTTACCTTACATTTATTTGTTATGCGAACCAATATGATGAGCTTGGTATTGTCTAGATGGTGGCGGCCAGTTAATGACAGCCGGATGTTGGGGACCAGATGGCGGCAGCCCAATACCGTATGGTAGCAGCCTTAGGGAAGCACCCCTATGGCGGTGGCCGTATGGCGGTGACCGGATGACGGTGCCCGGATGGCGGTGCCTGGATGGCGGTGCCCGGATGGCGGTGCCCGGATGGCGGTGCCCGGATGGCGGTGCCCGGATGGCGGTGCCCGGATGGCGGTGCCCGGATGGCGGTGCCCGGATGGCGGTGCCCGGATGGCGGTGCCCGGATGGCGGTGCCCGGATGGCGGTGCCCGGATGGCGATGCCCGGATGGCGGTGCCTAGATGGCGGTGACCGGGTGACGGTGAACTGATAACAGTGGCCTGAAGGCGGTGGCTTGCGGACGATGATCTGATAGTCGCTGTCTGATGGCGTCGTTCTGTCCTCTAACCAACGATCTTCATCTTCCTGCCGTGACGCGAACCTCGTGCTTCGCATCTTCCGTCCACTACCGTCTCTACCATTATTCCACCGCACGTCTGCCTAGAGGCAACGCTACACACCCACAATCGTTATCGGTTCTACCGTTCGCAATTTAAATTGGAAGTTTGCTGAACAAATGGTGCCCTACGTTCCCACACAAAATAAAAATACAAAATGTTACCATTTAGGATGGTAACAACTTTTACCTTGAGTAAGTAGTAAGTTTTCTGGCAAATGTTGGGGGTTCATGAGCATTCCTGACATTGCTGAAAATTATGATAGCATCAATTTGCGGAGTTGCTAGTGTAATAGGATGCTTTGTTGATTGTTCATTAACTCTTGATCGCTTGTAATACTTATGAATATTTTAGATGGACAAAAAGGCGAATTAAGACGTGGACGCCTAAGCTTTTTCACATTTATATCACTGTGAAGTAGCTGTAAACTCTAGAGGGAATTTATATCTGTAAATGTAACCATCTCGTTTTTTTGCTAACCTGGTTAAAATGTTTGCATTTAATTATCTTAAAGATAAATCGTCCAGCTCAAACCTTTGTAGGGGTATGAGGTGGGACCACCATCATCATATCATCATCTCTCACTAAGATGTTTTCGTTCCCTCACGTTGAAAACGCTTTTTCGTGTACCAATTTATAGTAATTTTATGAACATCGAGATGTTTCTCAGATTTTTTATTTTTTTTATTTTTTTATTCGTCGTCAATCAATTGTAGACCAGTTTTAATTACAAAAAAACACTTAACATCTATTTTAATTTTCAATCTCTGACTAACCTCGAAAAGAAACGTTTTTTAAGAGCATTTTCGTTCATTGTCAAATGGATTCTTTCATAATCATCATTATAACAAGACATCATTCTATTTAAAGGCGCGTTCATGGCATAGTTTGTTATTTGGTTGTTAATATAAAATATATTTATGTTTCTTAAGGAACGAGTGGGAGTATAAAAATTTAGATTTTCTAAAATCTCTGTGGCATCCACTCTTTGTGCTACTACATCGTTTATAAAAGCTATCACTACAAGCTGGCTTCGCTGTTCAAGTGCGTTCAAATTGATCAACATGCATCGAGACTCATAAGATGGTAAGGGTAAACTCGTCCAGCCTAACTTTCTTAGCGCAAATAAAAGAAACTGTTTTTGAACTGATTCAATGCAGTTTATATGAGTATCTTGATATGGAGCCCAGACTAAACTACAGTACTCAAGGAGGGGCCTAACATATGCAACGTATAATGTTTTGATTGTGTGTGGATCATTGCAATGAAAGCTAAACCTTTTAATAAACCCAAGCATGTTGCTTGCCTTGTAGATAATGTTATTATAATGAAAAAAAAGCCTGTAAAAGCTCGGAAAGTTTTACTCAGTCTACGAATTAACTACTTTTTCAAGAATATGAGTGAACTAATCTCAACTTAACAATTCCCAACTCCAATTTGGTTCCATTCGTTAAAAGTGTTTTTTTTTTGCTCGAACATGACATTTCAAACTTGCATCTATTTCACAAAAAAACTCCTCCCTCCCTCCATCTCCACGCAAAACTTCTGATTATTTGATGCAACCCAATTACAGAAATTTTTGAAATTCACAGACATTTTTCGTAGACTTCTGAAAAACAAATCTGGCATCTCTGGTCCCAACCGTCCCAACAGACATAAGTAGCTGACTAAGTTCGCCAAATTTACTTGTATAGAGGTTGAGTAAAGGTTTTCTCATATCGTATAACATTTGAATACAGCTTGTGGCTGTATAAATGAAATGAGTAAAGCGTTTACATTGCGAAAATTGTTAGTTGGGTACCTATTGTACTCAGATTTACTCATAGTTACTCTGGATTACTCTGGTTTGCTGCAAGAACACAAATAACTGGGCATATAGTTTTGGTTCCTGATGCTGCAGCTGACAGTTCATCGACGAAAAGAAAGCACAATGAAAACAAAAATCTAGCTGCACAAAGAAAACGATCCTATTTCTAGTCTCGCTTCTAAAACATTTATTATTTTCTCTTGTAAATAACAAAAATATTTTTCAAGATGCAATGCAATTCTTAGTTTGAGTAGCAGCCAGAAGATATTTCTAATTAATATTAATAAATTGAAAAGTAAGCGGAGCACAAACGTCTTGCAAAATGCTCTATAACATTAAATCAAGGATGATTTTTCATAGCGATGAATGCGTTTTTATATAAAAAAAATCAAACGTCGCTTCGACGAAACTCTCAGTACTTCGACGTATACTAACACCATTGCGTGGGAGTGGTGAGAATTTCGTTGAATTTATGTTCTAGAGGAGAGCCAGTGAGAATTTCACCATCGAAAACGGGGAATCTGTTTCGTTATTACCTGACGAACGATCACCAACGTTGGTTTGAACCGACACCGAATCCGGGCAAACTTTTCGCGCGAAGCTGAATATCCAACTGTTTGAGTACTCCTTGTCTTCGTTAATCGGTAATGACGCGTTTCGCATTCTCCTGCCGACATTCCAGAGTGTTCTCATCGAAGTCTCTTGCGACAAACCATAGACGAACCGACGCCATAATCGCGTTTTTATTAGCTTTAATCGAGCCTTTAAACGTTTTCTCTAGGTCAGTGTACCGCTCGAGATCCTCGACCTTACAGTGTTTGCGGAAGCGTTTAAACGCGGTGGACTTCTCGCTGTTCGCGTCGGTGCAATCCTTATCCCACCGCGGAGTGGAAGGCCGCCTGCGAACGGAAACACCCGGCACACGTTTCGTCTGTGCTCGCAGCGCACAATCGATGTCGAGACGCGCGAGAAAGGAGTACTCGTTCAGTACACCCCTCACCATCCCTCTCCAAAGGGGGAGTTTGGTAAAGAGAGATGAAAAAACCGATTTGTACCTTCCTTAAAAGTTGTCCTAGTTCGCTATTCTAATATCTATATACAATCTTCACACTGCCGTACTCTAACGGAACTATCAACTCTATGCTTTCATCTACTCCATCTATCGTATAAAAATTACCACTACAGTCTGTTATTTGAAATTAGCATCTTCAACTAAGTCAAGAAATGTTACCTTAATTATTATTATTATTATTAATATTTATTAGCCACACTTTATCACTTCTGTAACAGTCGTTGCGTATCCAGTGAAGTATTTAAAACCTTAAAAATCGAAAATTGCATTCTTATATATATATTTATATATATTTTATATATTTCTTATTGGGTATTACAAAAAAAATACGGACTACATGTTTAAAAATGTGTCCAAAAATTGTTGTTCTAAAAGTATCCAACTAGAAAATTTCACTGATATGAGCATTTTTTAAAGGCAATATATTGAAAAATTTTCAACCAAGCATTAAAGAGGGCATTTTTGTCATATAAGTTTTTTACACCTCTCGATTTTTTTTCACCCAAAATTTAATGAATTTTCGGAACGTTTTTATTCGTCCTCCAAAAGGTTTATTTTTTTCTATATTTTATTTTTGTGTCGACCGTCATTTTGGTTTGATGAAAAATATAAAATTCAGCTCTTTGATTTATTTTTATATTCAAATCTCCATACATTATTTTTCCGGTTACCTTTTTGCCCATACCACAAAAAGTATCATAAATTTGGAAAATCTAGACAGTAAATTTATTTTCTTGATTTGTTTTCCGTACTGAGTACCAATGCTACCGACGCGTCCGTTAAAAAGATAGACTCGAGCACCACCTATGTGGTGTAAAAATGAACAAATATGAAACTTTGAAAAGATGGCGCTTTTAATATTGAGCAACTTTGTAGAACATTGTATCGCTGTAGAAAGCCAACGGCGCTAGAGGTTTTGGCCACACGAATGGCTTCGCTGCCCCACTGTGCGACGCCAGGGAGGCAGCTCATACACCTGGACTCTACATATAGACACATCAACTCATAACCGGGGACCAATGGCTTTACTTTTTTTTCCGACGGAAGGCGTGATCAGAGATTTTATGCCTCAGAAAATCCCAGAGGCACCGACTGGGATTGAACCCAGGCCTTTTGGGGTGAGAGGCAATCACGCTTACCACTACACCACGAAGCGCCGCTGGATTAAAAAAATGTAACCGTTTAAAAAAAAATAATCGGGTGCAATTGACGAATGCAGAAAAAGGACTGATTATCGAATATGAACAGTACATTCGAAGTCACGTTCCATGCGTCAAACTGGTGACGCATTTCCTGAGGCTTTCGGATTATAAAAAAGGCAAACCTACACTTCGAAAAACACATTGTTATATCCATTAAATTCACATGGCCCCATCACTTGAGCGAAACAAATAATTGCAGTTTTTTAACTTCTCTTAACACTTCGAACACGATGCCTCCGGCAAAATATGTAACGGCAAATTAGCAATATTTGATAGATCATTTCTCAGCAATTAAAAAAATCTTTAAAGTCTGTAGCTTGAAATGGTGCCAATGGATTTAAAATTCGTCAACAAATGGCTGGGCTAAAATTGCAAGTTTGCCATAACTCATTTACCGGATGCATCGTGTTCGGAGTGTTAACGTTCAGTTGGTACCTACCTGCACTACAAAACGGTTTTATTTTTATTATTCACCTTGCCTTTTGGCCATATTGTGCCAGTCGTGCAACCTACGATATTGGGTAATCCAATTTATTGAAGCGAATCAAGGTGTCCAAATTGGATTAATATGATCAGATAGGTAGTCATGGCACCAATCATCTGCAAAAAAGAAGAACACATCGAAATTAATTCCACCGCTCGCTCGGTGGACTCGGGACAAGGAAAGGTATTAATTCCGTTAAATTACCCCATAAAACAGAGATAAATCGACATTGAACAGGCCCAGGCAATTGAAGTGCAGTTCCAACAAATTTAATCGAAAGGATGGATTCTGTATCAATAAAAAAAGAGAAATAAACAATGTGTCAGTTTGCCAAACATGCAATTCAATTAAATTTTAGGTTCAAGCTGTGACGGTAGTACCGCAGTTGAAAAGGCTTCAATGCCTCCGGTAGCTCTGTAAATTTTGGTGTTCATCAGTTGATTGGTTTTGCAGATCTGAAACATTGACAGATTATTAGAATAAATTTAGGAAAGTTAAAACCTTAGTTCCGGAGAACTTTGAGGTTTGGGCGTAATTGATTTTGTAGCAAACACATGTAGCGCCGATTTCTCGTAATTTGATACTCAATCTCAATCATTTATCAACCTTTTTGCGTCGTTAATTTTTTAGATTTAGCTTTAATTTGCGAAAAATCGGTGATTGTCGTGTTTGTTTACAAAAGCAAATACGCCCTAATCTCAAAGTTCTCCGGAGTTTACGGTAGAAATACAAGAAGTTGAAATCACAATGAATATTATACACACACATGTGGATCTCCATACTGGATACCAAGGTTGCAAAGACTCATTTCAGCTAAAACAATGTTTTTCTAAATTATGAAATCAGGCATAACATTTGATAACGGCACAAAAGCATTTGTAAACAAACTTTCTAAGGCCCTTTACACGTGAACCAAAGTACGCTCACGCAAACCAATACCACTTTCGGAAAGGTGATAGTTGCATCTATCCGATGATGTTGTTGGTTTGCGTGGGCGTACTTTGGTTCACGTGTAAAGGGCCTTAGAAAGTTTGTTTACAAATGCTTTTGTGCCGTTATCAAATGTTATGCCCGAAATAATTAGATGCCATGATCAAATTTTGAATTGGTAGGATACAAGAAGAGGTTGCAAAGAATGTGTTTGACATATTAAACCTGTTTATTTCACTTCATGAGAGTCACAATCAGCGATTTTTCACAAACTCACTCACTCACTCACTCACTCACTCACTCACTCAGCGATCAGCAAATCGCTGATTGTGACTCATAGAAAGCAAAATTTACAGGTTTTATGTTTCCAACGCATACTTTGTAACCTCTTCTTGTAAGTTACAAGTAAAACATGCCATCATACCATCTTTTGGTTTTATTATTCCAAAAACCATTATTTTAGCTGAAATGAGTCTTTGCAACCTTGCTGGATACCTTTCAAAAAGAGAAGTCCTAGGGGAAGTACAACTTGATCTGAAGTATTATTTGGTGTAAAAATACTCAAATTGGTAGTGATTATAGTTTTTAGTATAAATATTAATGATATTTACTGTCAATCGGAATGTACAAAGAAAAAAAAAATAACAGTGTTACTTTAACGCATCCGCTTAATGACGTTTAACAGTTGTTGTTTGTGTTTACTGCAGCTTTCTGCTTGTCATAATGTTTGCCTAGATTTTCGTTTACGATAGCTCTGAACGTTTCCGGCTTCGGGCGTTCCCCCAGCAAGCCTTTCCAAGTTGCAGTTAATAATGGAACAAGCTTTTGACGCCTATTCATTGAAAACAACAATGCCAATAACAGTGAATTTTTTCTGTTCATAAAACGCTCTTGTTTTGGAGACAGCCCCCATGCAAAAGTAGCGTATAAAAAAATCATGCACATTAGACTTATGCAAAATTTGAAACTTTCGCTCCACGGTGCTCAAACGGTTCCAAATTGGGTCCTGATTAGCCTCCCAAAAGTTGAATTAATTTATTCAGAAACAGACTTGGCACAAACGTTATTAAGTTTATGTGGAAAATACCATGGGGAAAACCAAATTTTTTGTTCATCTCTATCTCATAATTCAAGCTGAATATTACATTAGGTCCTAAGTAACATTGATCGATTTTCTTCGTCGACTTTCTCTTTCGTTAATAACTTGAGCACATAACCGTTTCTTGTTGTGTTTGTCGTATTAGATGCTACATAAAAGCTTCTTTTATCGATATGTGTGCTGAAAATACCAGGATATGCGTCACCAGTTTGACGCATGGAACGTGACTTCGAATGTACTGTTCGATAGTCAGTCTTTTTCCTGCATTCGTCAATTGCACCTATGATTTTTTTAACGGTTACATTTTTTTAACTAAGCAGCGCCGATGGTGTAGTGGTAAGCAAGATTGCCTCTCACCCCTAAAGGCCTGGGTTCAATCCCAGTCGTTTTGCCGGGATTTTCTGAGGCATACAATCTCTGATCACGCATTCCTTCGGAAGGGAAGTAAAGCCGTTGGTCACCGGTCTTTGAGTTGTTAGATCGATAGGGTCCAGGTGTAGGAGCTGCCTCCCTGGCGTCGGTAGCATTGGTAGTCAGTACGGAAAACAAGATCGACGGAAAACATATCAAGGATTTTTTATTGCCTAGATATTCCAAATTTAGGATACTTTTTGTGGTATGGGCAAACAGTTAACCGGAAAAATAATTTATGGAAATTTGAAATCAAAGAGCTCAATTTTATATTTTTCATGGCCGTAGGAATACAAAGAGAAAGTCGAAGAAGAGAATTTGTCAATGTTACTTAGGATTTAATGCAATGTTCAGCTTGAATTCACCATTTTACTCTGCTTTTGAAAATGATAGCTATACTTGTAGTATATTTTCTCAACTACAACTTTGACCAAGACAACTTTTCGATTAAATGTAAGGAACAACAGTTATTAATGTTTCAAGTCAGTAATGTCTGTTCATTAGGCAACATTGGTGTTTTCGGCGCGTAGAATAGAGCACAACAATCATGGCTACTACTACTCACATTGCAGAATACAGTGTTGCCCACAAAACAGCTGCTTGCTCATGCCATTAGATTGTCAATCTCTTAAACAATAAATAACTATTTAATCTAACGTCTGGCTGACAAATTTGTAGCTGAGAAAGTTTTCCATAAAGGGTGATACGGTCAAAATTTGGTCAATATCAACTTGACGTATTTCTTTCAATTTTGCATTTAAAAAACCTGAACACCCCTCATTTTGAAGGTGTGTGTGTGTAGAATGTTGCTCCTATTTTGATTTTGGAATTCACTCTTCAGTTGTCAAAATGCCGTCCAAGCAAGAAGAGCAGCGTATCAAAATTTTGCTCGCGCATCGCGAAAATCCGAGCATGCAAAGTTGGCAAAATCGCTAAAAGTTGCCAAATCAACCGTTACAAATGTAATTAAAGTGTTTGGGGAACGTTTGTCGACAGCCAGGAAGTCTGGATCGGGGGGAAATCGAAAACCGGAAGCCGCTGAGACGACAAAGAGAGTTGCCGGTAGTTTCAAGCGAAACCCTAACCTCTCTCTCTGAGATGCCGCAAATAAGCTGGGTGTATCGTCTACAACCGTGCATCGAGCCAAAAAACGAGCCGGACTATCGACTTACAAGAAGATAGTGACTCCAAATCGCGATGATAAACAAAATACGACGGCCAAAGCGCGATCCCGGAGGCTGTACACGACGATGCTGACGAAGTTTGACTGCGTGGTAATGGACGACGAAACCTACGTCAAAGCCGACTACAAGCAGCTTCCGGGACAGGAGTTTTATACGGCAAAAGGAAGGGGAAAGGTAGCAGATGTTTTCAAGCACATGAAACTGTCAAAGTTCGCAAAGAAATATCTGGTTTGGCAAGCCATCTGTACCTGTGGCTTGAAAAGCAGCATTTTCATAGCTTCCGGGACTGTCAACCAAGAAATTTACGTGAAAGAGTGTTTGAATAAACGTCTGCTGCCTTTCCTGAAGAAACACGGTTGTTCCGTACTGTTTTGGCCGGATTTGGCATCTTGCCATTACAGTAAAAAGGCCATGGAGTGGTACGCCGCCAACAACGTGCAGGTGGTTCCCAAGGACAAGAACCCTCCCAACACGCCAGAGCTCCGCCCAATTGAGAAATACTGGGCTATTGTCAAGCGGAACCTAAAGAAGACCAAAAAAACTGCTAAGGGCGAGCAGCAGTTCAAGGCAAACTGGCTTTCTGCGGCGAAGAAGGTGGACAAGGTGGCTGTACAAAATCTGATGGCAGGGGTCAAGCGTAAGGCCCGGCAATTCGGATTTGGAAAAGCGGAAGCCTAACTGAATATTTTTCCTGAATTTTATACTAATTGAACTTGAAAAAGAAATTTAATTTGATTTTTTAAATAAACGATTTCACCGATTTACACGCGTTTTCCCTTGACCAAATTTTGACCGTATCACCCTTTAAAAATAGCTATCGAACTTTTCAACAGCGCAATATAAAAAAAGGCAAGAAGACAGTGAACAAAAAGCTTGACTTTCCCATCGTAATTTCCATATTAACTTCACATGATTTGTGACTAGTCAGTTTCTTACCAATTGAGTTTAAATTTTGCAAGGTTAATCAGGACCGGATTTGGAACCAAAATTTTGTATCACACAGTTCGAAAAAATAGTTTTAAATTTATGTTCAATACGATGCACATAAATGTAGCGTAACATTTTCCTAGAAACACCGTATGGCGCCTGCTCAAAACGTACTAATCGGAAGCCTCAAAGCAAACGCCGGAGTGGAACTGCCAATGTCATCAGCTCCATGGAAAGGTCGTGAGGTCCATCAGAAGCAACCCAAGTATGTCCGATAGCGATTTTAGTAAAAAGTATGATGCCGCCCGTAATACACTGCAGCGAATTCGCTACCGCATACCGCACCAGTAGGCAACCAAATCGATTACCCAAGCAGAATACCGTAGCTACAACCCGTGCTCGAAAGCTGTATGACAACCTGCTGATCAAGTCCGGTGGGTGCATACTTATGGATGATGAAACCTAACCTAACCTGATAAATTCGTCCGCAAATATATGATCTGGCAGGGAATTTTCAGCTGCTGCTAGAAGACAAAGGTTTTCGTCGCTGAAAAAATGATGAAATCGTTGGTTTACATAACCGAATGTCTCCAGAAACAAATTCTGCCCTTCATCCAGTCTGGAACTTGCGAATTATCACAACAGCCGGGAAGTACAACAATGGTTCAATGACAATGGAGTCCAGATTGTTTCGAAAACTCTCAATCCGCCCAATTGTCCCTAGTTCAGAAGCTGAAGGTAAAAGGTACAGTCATCAAAACGGCAGCTCAGATGAAAAATTGATTGGTCTTATTAAGTGAAAAGTTCGAGAATTCGCGACGAATTTTTCGTTTCGCTTTTTTTTAAATATAAGGAATAGTATCAAGGGGTAAGTCACTTAGCACAGTGTGCCAAACGTAGTTTTGGCACTGCTTGGGCACATCCATCGGCACAATCTCGTATTAATTTGATTGATCATTAAATAAAATGGAAGCACTGTTGGACAACTGTCAATAAAGTTGTTCACAACATTACGTGCTGTTTTACTGTATATTTCAGGAACATCCTCTGATGGAACTTAGAGCAGCAGTTCACTTCTCGATTATTATTTTTTAAACCAGGGTGATTGGGAAGTGAGTATAAGTAAAAAACCTGAAAATTTGAGTACACAGATAAAAATTCAGAATTTTAATAGTGATGTAAACATTGATTCACGTAAACTTGTATTTCATTTCACGCAACCGAGCTACTTGTAAACAATTTGTTTACAATAATGGAGTTTTGTATACAATATTTGCTACATTGCATGAAATGTCTCAGAACTTTACATGATATATAATGTAAACTTATATGATATGTGACGCTCCATTTATGTGCATCATATTGAACAGAAATTTACACTACTTTTTCGAACTTGTATATCTTATTCATAGTATATTGTTCACATCTGTCAAGTTTCGCAGTCTTTCATACAATAGTTCCTGTCATTTCGTCCGAGAAAAAATATTGTGCACTTACAATCAAAATCCATAATAATAAGAACTTTCAAGGAGCGTCTAAGTACCCGGAAGAAGGACGGGAATGGGCGTTAAAGTAAAGTTTTGGCACTGCTTGGGCGTTAAAGTAAAGTTTTGGCACTGCTTGGGCACATCCATCGGCACAATCTCGTATTAATTTGATTGATCATTAAATAAAATGGAAGCACTGTTGGACAACTGTCAATAAAGTTGTTCACAACATTACGTGCTGTTTTACTGTATATTTCAGGAACATCCTCTGATGGAACTTAGAGCAGCAGTTCACTTCTCGATTATTATTTTTTAAACCAGGGTGATTGGGAAGTGAGTATAAGTAAAAAACCTGAAAATTTGAGTACACAGATAAAATTTCTGAATTTTAATAGTGATGTAAACATTCATTCACGTTAATTTGTGTTTCATTTCACGCAACCAAGCAACTTGTAAACAATGTTATTTGCAACAATGGGCTTTTGTATAAAATATTTGCTACATTGCATGAAATGCCTCAGAACTTTACATGATATATAATGTAAAATTGTATGATATGTGACGCTCCATTTATGTGCATCATACTGAACAGAAATTTACACTACTTTTTCGAACTGTGTAAGATCAATGAAGAACAGTCCAAACATGTCAATTCGAGATGTCACTAAAAAGTCCAAGATGTCAGTCGGTTTTGTGCAGAAAAACCGTGAAGCGTGCTGGATTACATGCACAGTTCGAAAAAGTAGTGTAAATTTCTGTTCAATATTATGCACATAAATGGAGCGTCACATATCATATACGTTTACATTATATATCATATAAAGTGCGGACACATTTCATGCAATGTAGCAAATATTGTCTACAAAAACCCAGTAAACGTTTTCCAAAACTATTTTGCTAGCTTCTGCTTGTAGCTGTATCTGCAGATTTTTTCGGCTACTTTACAGCACAACGCTGTGAAAGTTGGCTTATAAAGCTGAAAATGTTAGTTGGGTGTTTTGCTTTTCACTCCGGCTTGGGACTTTTTGCACCTTTTAAACACACAGATAAAAATTCTGAATTTTAATAGTGATGTAAACATTCATTCACGTTAACTTGTATTTCATTTCACGCAACCGAGCAACTTGTAAACAATGTTGTTTACAACAATGGGCTTTTGTATACAATATTTACTACATTGCATGAAATGTCTAATAACTGTACAAGATATATAATGTAAACTTATATGATATGTGACGCTCCATTTATGTGCATCATATTGAACAGAAATTTACACTACTTTTTAGAACTGTGAACTTTTTCACAAACATTATTCAATTTGTCAGTCATACTGAATAACAACAGCAAATAAACGTTAACACTCCGAACACGATGCCTCCGGTAAAATGTGTAACGGTAAATTGGCTATGTTTGAAAAATCATTGCTCAGCAATTCATCAATAGATTTTAAATTGATTGATACCGAATAAATCTTTAAAGTTTGAAGTTTCAAATGGCAGCAATAGAGTTGAAATTTGTCAATAAATGGCTGAGTTATGATTTTACAAACATAGCAAGTTTTCCGTTACACATTTTACCGGAGGCATCGTGTTCGGAGTGTTAATGACACTTTTATACACATGCTAATCAACTTTCAACTTGTAGCTGCAAAACAAAGCTAATAAAGTGAATATCCCAAGTAACAATTTAGGTTTTATAAGGGTTCTGTAGACCATGATTTAGACTTGTAGCATGCTTCGAAACCTCCATAAAACTTGCAATGCTACTTGGAATGTTACTCATTTGATGGCTTCTACACAACCAACCACTCTTGCTGAATAACATAACAATTAAACAACCTGTACTCTGCTAATAAACTGTATTAGGCCTACTTTGGAAATATTTTTACAGTTTATAGGTTTATTTTTAGACGAGTGCAGTTTCACAGCTTTTAGTCTGCTCTTTTACAAAGCTGAAATAACTAGTCGAGAAAAGTGATTCACACTATTATAAAGCCTCTACTCAGCGATTTTATGATTGTAGAACGGCATGTTAATTTTTTTTTACATCAGTTCAAAGTGTTGGCGTAGCACAGTTGATGGTGTCAACACAGACAAACAGACGTTACACTTCATTGTGTATCTTCGTTCACGCATTTAACGGTTGATTTAAATATTATCAGTTTCGCGAACTACTCGCCGCAGCGCTGGCATCGGATCACATTGACGTTTCTATACATTCTATAGAACTTTTATGCAATATTGTTTGCGAGTTAGCGAGCAATCTTGTTTTCCGCGAGAAGCCAGAGAGATGTCGCTACTGAGGTCCTATGTTTTGAGATACTATGTTTTCAAGAGAAACTTTTTCAAAGTGTTACGTCTGTTTGTCTGTGGTGTCAAGGTTTGCCAATGCGGTCGTCTCGAGCTCGATTCCAGGTTCCGGTGCTTAATTTAGTGGTGTGCTTGTAACTAATTTCGATTAATTTGATTCATAGCAAAATAAACTCAATAAAATCCTCCATCTAAAGAATTGCGTAAACAATATTTAACTCGGCTTCAAGAGAAAGCTGTGTAGTGATTATTGGACAACTTTTTGAAAAAGCGCCTTTCAAGTTCACACACACAACTAAACAGCTGTATAGAAGAGTAAATGGATGTGCAATAAGAGCTTGTCCCAACCGTCCCAATAAACGCCATCTAAGTTCGCCAGATTTGATTGTATAGAGGCTGAGTAAAGATTTCCTCATATCGTATAACATTTTTTAAACACAGCTTGAGGCTGTACACAGCAAAAAATAAATTTTAATATTACATCCAATAGAAGAGGATGCAGTTCAATCATGTCAAAAAGCTCATGTATTTTTTTATGGCCACAAAAATAAACAAATGCAGTAAAAGCAGTGTAATTTCAGTTTATGCACTGTATTAATGTTAATTTTGTCCTTTTTGGCAAGTTATATTACACCATATTTTTGACACGATTGAAGTGCATCAACATTATGTTTTTGCTGTGTACCTTTCGGAGTGTTGAACACCTTCCAAAGCGCCCCTTTTTCAGTCAAAATTGGATTCCTTAGCAACAAAATTAAACAATGACACCGATAATGACCATGCATCAACTGACAACGAATAGAAGATTAGGAATCACATAGATGTAGACTAACTAACTCATTTTTTTTTCCTTGTTTCAAGATCATCCTCGGTAGACAAAGCTGAGTCTTGTCACTATCAACAAGGCGTAAAAAGTAACAAGGACTAAAATGTGTTCCTTTGATTACTGAAAAATATTGTTCCCCTAATTTGAAGTAGTCAGGACTAGGAATCGGTGGTAGATCTTACATCCCGTAACGTACCACGAAAAGGTGATCTACCCACGTTACGGGGCAGCTAAGACCGTTACTTTAAAATTACTAAAAAACTGGGTTTCAGGATCACAGGAATCGATGTCAATGTGGCCATGTGTCACAGAATTCATCTCAAACTTTTTTGATTAAGCATATCTTCTTTTTTGTCGTGATTGGAACCATCACATGATATGGTTTTCATGAATATGATCATACCTTGCCGTATCGTATTGCGGAATCCATGAAATGGAATTCCGGAATCTCAGAACCGTTGCCAATGTCACCATATGCCAAAGGAATCACCACAAATAATCTTTATTGACCTTATGTCACAGACAAACAGACATAACACATTGAATATTTCTCACTGTAAAACATCGCCGCTAAAACATTACCACCATCTGTGGAGTACACTGTGGTGGGTAGTACGCTGAACATGTGGCGGTAGTGTGTAAACGTCAAACGCAAGGGAATTGACTGTGGGTGCCACAGGTGGTGGTACTACCAACTACGATATTTTTACATTGACCGTTAAATGCTTGTTCCATGAGCAACTTGCGAGTTTTATGTCTGTTTGTCTGTGCTTATCTTATCATGCTAACATGATTTGATATGCAACATGATAATTATACCGCGAATGTTACTGTGGGGTATAAAACTGAGTTCCACGGATTTCCCAGAACCGATGCCAATGTACCCCAAGTAACACTTGCAACATCTTGCATGAAAAATTAAAAAAAATCCAGTTGTAAATAAGTTATATATTAATTGCTTTTAAAACATCCTGTTTAGACGCGTTGTATTGTTGCTTGTGAAGTATTCAACCTTTCTGACAAGCACTTGTTATCTTGAAGTTATAATTCAATATTGCATGTCTCAATTACCAGTTTAAAACACATTTATAACTGATTGTATTTGGTGGAAACTGGCTAGACTTATGTACAACATGTTTTCATATGTCATTATTAGAAACATGAATACATCTGAGATATAACTTATGTATAACATGTTATTAATAAGTTATATTTCAGTTGTCCTCATGTTTCCAAAAATGACACATGAAAACATGTTGTATATAAAGCTAGCAGGTTTTCATCAAAAACAATCAGTTATAAAAGTGTTATAAATAGGCAATTGAGAGTTGCCATACCTAATTATAACTTCAATATACGATACAAGTAATGTTCTTGTTTTTCGTGTTATAAGCATGTTTTGATAACAATTATGAAATTTCTCAATGCATTCTACAAACTGCACTACAATATGGCTGACCAATGAATCAATAAGAAAACATTTAATTTATGCTTTCAACATCACATGTACGTTTTGTAAAAGAGAATAGTAAGATAATTAAAAAAGAAAGTTGATATTCTGTTTGTTTTTGTTTGTTTGCAAAGTTGGGAAATTTTATCCAGGATTTTTTATGCAATTCAATTTATTATATTAAGCTTTTTCTAAGAGCCAATGAGTTTTTTAGAAGTAGAATGTATATATTTACCATAAATTTGCAACCGCATAAATGTTTGCAGTACGGAATCTCAGTTTAGGCACTTTATCCGCACGATAAAATTCCTCAGAAGAATAAGTTGTGTAAATTGATGATAAACAAATTCCATTCGTAGGAAGGATGAAATTAATTTACAACATGTCCAAAACACTAGGTTGCGTTATAGTCATAAATAAGTTGCGCAAGTCAAGCATATGTTATATATAGATCCCACCTCTTGCGCTTTTTTCGGTATAAATAAGTTGTATATAAGTGACTAGACGTAAATGTTTACCGCTGATATTGTCATAAATAAGTTATGTAAACCCGTTTATGACAAATTGTGTTGCTTGGGGCCCATATGTCATCAGATACACTAAAACCTGATTTCATTGATCAAAGCTTGCCATTTTAGTATGATATGATATCATAACCTCAATCACATAACATATGTGGAACTGCATGCAAAATAACTTTCTTAAAGTTGACCCCTTTTTTGTGTTGCCTCAGTGGTATAACTGGTATAGTTGGCCATTGATCTGTCAAAACAAAATTGTCGTGATATCGACACTGTGTGTTCATAAGGACCAATGTCGAAAACGTAAACAATGGCTTCTTTCGGATATTTCTTGTAGTTCGAAGTCATTCCATGTAAGCCACCAATTCCATCGGATAGGGGGAGTCTTTCTCTACACAGTTTACGTTTAGGGGCTGTTCATAAACTACGTAGACAGATTAGGAGGGGGGAGTTGACAATTATTCACAGCCCATACAAATTTAAAAAAAAATTGTATGGACAATTGTCTACGCAGAGGGAGGGGGGGTCAAGAATCCCAAAAAACTGTCTACGTATCCCCTTAGTTGACATGTGCGGTTTTTCATTCTCGGGAAATTCGCAGAAAAAGTTTACGTTTGCGACATTCGCTCTTATGAAAGAAAAGCAGACATATGGTTGCATGCTCAGGAAGCATTGACGTTGACGACGACCCTGCAACTCTTTACTCATTAGTACAATCCCATAAGCATCTGAAAATATGTGCATGAAATCTAGCGGACTTTGTCTTTTCTCTTTACTCCACCATAGAACCAGCGAGCCACCATCTCTTCACACAAAACTTGATAGTATCTTATGCGATTTTCATAGGAGTGAAAAGGTAAGGAAATGTCCACCAAGTTTCACGCACAGACTGACGATTGCGGATGGGATTTTACCATAAGAGTAAAGAGATATAGAGTGAAGGCGAATGGAAATTGTCAGGGTAATGCGCGATGTCAATCATGCAAGGTCTGGCCCAACTGACTTATGGTATTGCACAGTTGAATATGGAAGGTGGTGTTTGTATTTCACCTAAGAGTCATTCGCCTGCGCAGCAATGTTTACAACATTTCTGCTTCTAACACCAGCAAGCTGCCTGCTGTTACAGACCTTGTATGATTGACATCGGATAATGCGGATTTTTCGACCAGCTCTACAGGGGGCTTATCAAAGGTTTTTTTTAACTAGCATTTTCAAGCCGGTCAGAAGCCAATCATGTGCGTTATTAACCAGTAATATTGCATATTTACTGATGCAATATTTCTTAGTCTCTTTGACCTGATTGAATTCCATTCGATTCATTGCGTAAATTGCGATTATTGAATATGATTGAATGGAAACAATTTGAAGATTTTATGTTTGCGTTGAATAGGTGTAATTAAACATGTTCGAGTATACAACCACCCGAAACTACAACCCTGGTCCAGCATCCAAAATCAGTACAATACAACCGGACCATACAACTGTGTGGTCATTGTTTTGTATTCCTTGGCTGTTCGTTTGCTGCAATAGATGGGATGGCGCACCGACGAAGATCACGAGTGGGAGATCAAAACTCTCGCAAGAGCATCATCCATGACGTCACCCGATATGCCCGATATCTACTGCAGTGGTGAATTTCGGCTGGAGAGGATAACGGCAGGAGAGGACCGATCGAAGATCATCGCAAGCGGCGATCCCAGGCTGGATGATGATCGTTCGTGAAAGAGCTCGTCAGTTGGTTGTTCGTACATCCCAGGTCAAACACGGCGGTAGACCTCACGCGTAGTATAATTAAATAACGTACGTTTAGTTTTAAACGAATAAATGTTATATTAAACAGATAATAAATGTAGAGATTGTAGTTAGTGTTTAGTGTAACCGCGAGTGTGTGTTATTTTGTTGGATTTCCTGAAACCAAATCCTTTGGAAGGATTCCATAGCCCAAACATACTGGTTAGCAGCAGGCATACCCCAATCACCTTGGCAAGGTCACGGATAGGTTCGAGTGTTGGAGGAACATCGCCAGTGCTATCGAAGTGAGTACTCCGTTCCCCAACAAAACATTTTATATGAATAATATTGTTCACTGTGCTATTAGTAAGTCAACTTATGAGTGTCATGAAATATTCTGTTGACATTTATAAAAAGTTGATATTTTTCTAAGAGATCTAGAAACATAACTAGGGTATGTGTACCAGTTTTAGGCCCTAGTGGTCGTCGAATTGACCATATCTTAAATTTCACATTTTATCATTCTTCCTAAATTTGTTTCGATACAAGGTAAGAACATATGTTTTGGCAGAAATCTGCGCAAATATGGCCCTAGGGCCAAAAATTGGACCACTAGTGCCAATACTGGTACACTTATCCTATGTAAAATAGATCCAAACGATTACTTTCATTTGTAAATAGTGCTTATTGTTGCTAGAAAACATAGCCGTTCCTTTTTTTCTTTTATTTGAGAGATTTTTAGCTGAATCTCTAATAGCCGTTCCTGTTAACTTTGAGATAGCTAACTTGGAGCCCCAGGTTGGGACCTTAGCCATAGTGATCGAAATTTTTTTGCTAGGAACGCCCTTCCTTTGCCTTTCGATCAATCTTTCCACGTTTTTAGTGCAAAATAATTGGAGTAGATCTTTTGCTCAAAACATTTTCAATTGCCCGCAGCCTTGGCCGCAGCTGAGAAGCATATGGAGGATAGAGTCCTTGGATATTACAGGTATCAATAAGCACTCGATTGGATTTATCGTTCTGCTTGCGAAATTCTTGCGAACGGAACGATGGTCAGCTCAAAACACTGTATAATTTCCGCATAAACCGGGACACTTGCAAAATGATGCTGCTTCTCTTTGGACTTCAAAATGTATGCATTTAACTCCTAATTGGCGGGGTCGTATTTTTCCTCCTACGAATCCAAAATGAAATCAAAGGTTGATGAAATTGGCTCCAAACATATAAAAAAAGTTTAACGAAAAAAATGGTACATACATTTTTCTATATACAAAGAGATTTAGGATTAAAAGAAGTATTGGCGTGGAGTCGAGTGTGCAGTTTCCCCACTTTTTTGCCATAACTACAGAAAAACAATACGTTTGGTTTACAATAACATTTCAGGATTAATCGTTGGGTGGCAGGTCATTGCATACACGCTATTCTGAATCTACCCAGTGACTGGGTAGATGGCACCCATTCTTGTATCCAGTAAGGAGTTGTCAAAATCTGGGTAAACTAATTTTGTTCTGACGAGTAGAATCTACCCATATTCTGGGTAAATAGTTCTAATAGAAATTTTCCTAAAGTTAAAAATGGCGCAGGTATGAAAGGGAGATTGTTGCACTGCCAGTAAAAGTTAAGATCATCAAAATATATAAATCTGATGCTAAAAAATGTACACAGCAAAAAAATAATTTTGATATCACGTCAAAGTGGATGCACTACAATCATGTCGAAAATATGGTGTAATATTACTTGCTAAAAAGGACAAAATTATCATTAATACAATGCATGAACTGACATTACGCTGCTTTTACTGCATTTGTTTATTTATTTGGTCATAAAAATTACATGAAATTTTCGACATGATTGTAGTGCATCCACTTTGATGTTATATCAAAATAATTTTTTTGCTGTGTACAGATGTGTAACTGTTTCATGGCGAATGCTACCAGCAGCTTAAGTTAATAAGTATATTGTTAGTTTCTGGACTTTGAACATTTTCCTAATGCTAGGTTTTCGAGATATTCTGTGACGCTTTTCTCGATGAGAAATCTTTGTTGTAGTTCGTAATTTATAGATCGTTATTAAAATCGAATCTCAATAAATGGTTAGAATTTGTAACGGTATCGTTTTTGGGGATTTTATAACTAGTTCGTTTATTTGGAAGGCTCATTTTTGGGTATTTCAATGCCGTATTCCGTAGTTATACCTTTTATGCATGCTTATAGGACCTATGTGGTTTGTCTTATGGAATGTATAAGGCTGATGTTTTGGCAAAAATATATAAGTGAAACACACGAATACAATAATTGATTTTCGTTTCGTTTACAATGTTTCGATAACAAATAGGGTAAACGTCGACTTGGATACCGTTTCATCGTTTTCGGCAAACACAATTTAAACGGTTTAAATGCATTTTCTCACCAAAAACACTTCGTTCCATGTAATTAAAGGATTCCCTATTCTTTCAGCTTATATCTAACAAGATTTTTACGACTGAGCAAACGCATTTTGTCAGTTTTTTTTAGAAATGAAACACACGTACTACAAAATGCTGCTGATTTAGAAATGCTGGTAATAGAATAGCAGGTTGACATGTGGTTTAAAAAGAAATGTTGCCAGAGAAAAAGAGGTTGCCGACAATAGTCACACTCACCTGAGAAGTTTGGAGCGTCCTAAAAACGTTTTAGAACAGTTTTGGACAATTCTATCTATTGGATTGGATAGAGCAGCAGGCAGCAGATGAATGTTAATAAACAAACACTGCATATGTGGGCGTTATTTCGAGAAAAGGCCCATAGAAGCACAGACACTGCTTAGATTGACGCGAATACGTAAAATGTATAATACACGTACACGTACGCGTAACGTAAAATACATGGTTTGAGCGAAATCGACTCATTTTTTTCTTCTGTAGGGTTTTTGATCTAATTTTCGTCCTACTAAGCACAACTCACGCTTTACTTCCCTTCATTGAACGAGTTTTAAAAATAAATGAAATGTTTCTACCAAAGATGACTTCTGAATTTATTTCCCTTACCATAAGTACCGTTGAGTTTGATAAAGAGCCACACATTGTTGAGATATTGTTCAAAATCTAACACTGCTTCTTGATTCCAAATTCGTCCTACCAGTTTCAATTCCGTCCAAACTCATTGAAACGCCATTGCATTTTCTTCGTCCTACGCTGCCCATAACCGCATATCAGTCCCATATGGATAGGAAATCAAGCAAAGATGGGACTGATATGCGATTATGGGTAGTACGGATGAAGGTAGAAAAAGCGAGTTCACTAGGAGCACTTCTTTTGTTTTGAGAACAATTAGTGTAAATATTCATACAATACGCTCTAATAGGTTATGTGTTGTAGCTTGTGAACTAACGCATCGGTACAAACGTATTATTTACTGATTTGTGCACGGTGAAATCATTTATTTTACTGATGTTTTCTGCTCGATGGAACGGAAATGGACGATTACGACGAAGTAGCACTATACCCTAGTTATTTTTTTGCATGGAATTGCTGAATAATAATTAGAATTACTGTAAGCAACAGCCTCACAGCATGCGCTGTAACGTTTAAGTTGCAATTCAGGGTGAAGCATTTCTTATCCTTTTTTCTTCTGTTTGTCCTTTGCGGGTGGTGCGGGTGGGTTTGCGAGTGTCTACGGTCCATATAAATTTCCAAAAAAATTTATGGATGATTGTCTATGCCAGGCCTGCCCAACCTTTCTAAACTTGCTTTTTGTAATGGCTCACGCAAACCAAAAATCGATTACAATGAATGTTAGTTCCATTTCCTATCATCCTCTGTTCATGAACATCGCAGCGAATGTTAGAAGTTGACCTTGCAGGCGATGTAATGGTTTTTTGCCTTTTTTATTTCGTGTTCTGTCTGTGCTTTCATTTACACAAGCAAGCATTTGCCTTGATTTTTATGTATAACATGGCAGAACGACGCACACACTTGCCTCGAATCTCTCCAGCAGAAAAAGCATACGAAGTCAAGTGTGAGTGGAAATGAGCGCTTCTTGTTTGCTTTTAGGCTATCCTTATTCAGAAGCATGGAGAGAGCAGTGGAGAAAGCACAGGTCTGATATTCGCAACGTTCGTTGTTCGAGTCCAGTCGGCAACCTTTTTCCTATTTTTTTTCGACGTAATTAATTTACCTCACTAATACACTCTACATTTTTCGGTCTCCAATTTTCTTGCATTGGACCGCAGCTAGGTATATCGCATCCTCGGTTCATGCGGTCCCACATAATTGTATGCGAATCTTACATCCACCGGTTCAGCGTAATTTTTCAGCAATACATAAAAAAAATCAAACATAAAGTTCATTGCTCACTTAAACTGCTCGAACATTGGCGCATAATTAAAGGAATGGAATATTTCGCGATTTTTTATTTCATTAAAAATTATGCCTAACGTCACACACCGCAGTCATTCGAAATTTTACCTAGGGTTCCGAACGGCGAAACCCATGTCATGATTTTTCAATGATATGTCCAAAGTTACTTACCTCATCTACTGTGGAATGACTGTAGAAACAGATGGCGAAAAATTCCAGCAAAAAACAGCCTATATACAGTACAGTTAGAATCAAATCCTCATCGCCACTCTTGTCGACATATCCGTCTATTTGCCTGCAAACGGTGGATACAACACACATGTATAGGTTGTGCTCCTTTAGAATCAAACCGCAAAGACAATGCCACTAAATGTAAAAATGATGCGGTAACGGTAACAGGATGTTGCAACCGTAGAAGAGCTGCTCATGCTCCCAAACGGTTGCAAGGGATAATCTCGATCTCAATGACACCGACTAACTAATGCAGCCGAGTGTAATGGGATTGGATATGAGAACGAGGAACGAGAAAATCCTATTACCTCATCCCTACGATGCAGGCCATGTAGCTCAGCTCAACCACCGTTACAAATTGGTACAGAATCAAAATTAAATTTCGCACTCCAAACGACCGGTTTGTCATCTGGATCGTCTGCCGAAGCTTGAGATAGATTCCATAAATGTGTCTCAGCTGATTGGTCCTAGCTGCAAACTTCAATCGACATTTTCCCACTCCCCACAGTTTGTCTGTCATGCTTTGAATGGTGGCAGGTCCTGGCTGTCGCACATTGTTGTCATTTTCAGTGGTGCAACCTTTCACTTCGATTTCTGCTTTATCTTCATGGCAGGTCTTCAGCAATCGGTTGACAATTTGGCAGTTTCCTTTCGGTATTTCATTGGCGTTTGATGGTTTTTCAGCTGCCAGTACTTGATTCAACACTTTATAGCGGGCTTTGATCAGCAGCAGGAAGGCAATGTACTGAAGCTCACTAATGAGACACACCAGCTGCGGGATGATGCAGAGAAGCAGAAAGCTGCGTGGAAATTTAACATTCTCCTCGCGGCTGCTTTTCAGGCAGGACAGCACTTCGATGGTGCATTTCAAACTGATGAATCCGATGAACAATGCCGTGATGATTCTGAAGATAGGAAAATGTATAAAATAAATACAGGCCATTGAAGTGAAGAGAAACATTATTTAAACGGGACTTGGGATAAATGTCGAGCAGGTTGATCTTTTTTTTTATAATTAGTAGTTTTAGGAGACATACAGTGAAACACATTCAAATCCATCCTACCGCTGCACTGAACTTCAATTTCCCTTTTAGAAAGTTTTTATCTCACATAAAATTTCTAAGAATTGGTAAAAATCAAAAACATGCACGGATAGAAATCCTCATGTAATTTTAGACAATTTTCACTTGCTGATTATCCATAAAATGTTTAATTCAATTAATAAGCAGACGCCTTGCAAAAAAGTTAATGAAGATTATGTTTCAAATGAAATGTATAAAACGTCTAGGGTGGCAATGAAAATGTTCATCGCAAATTTCAAAAAGATACCCCCTACAAAATATGCCTTACCTCGAAAAACGACCTTATGCTAAATTTGAGCTCATTTGAACTTGATTTAGAGGTGGCTCAAAGCGGTTAAATTTATTCGACGCTAAATGGTTAAAACATGCATAAGACGTCGAGATCTGGTGTTACATCGAAAACAATTGTTTTGTCAAAAATTAACTTTCAGGGACTTAGAATGTTTTCATGAGTTGTATGCGAGGTTTTCAATATTTATGAATTACCTTCAAAAACTGTTCACAATCATCTCCGAACTTCTTGTACATCGAATTAAATCACTGATTGGTTCGGATACGCGATGCTTCACTTGGGTGGTTCACTTATTTTTCATTACATCACATGTCCCTAACCGCGGTCTAATATGAATAGGGTTACCATATGGTATCCTAAAGGAGGACATGTCCTCCTTTTTCAACATTTTTTCAACGTCCTCCTTTTGCCCGAAAATGTCCTCCTTTTTAATCCTTGCATTTTTTCGAATAACATATTCATAAATTTCTTTTCAAAGAGCGTTGTTTGCAGAGCTTATTTGTTTAATTATGTCGCAACTTCATCTTATCTAGCAAATGCCATTTGATGATGGGACTAGGAGTATACTACTGCTGCCAACCCCGCTACATTAAGGCTGCGGTCAAGGCTGCCGTCCATTTCGTAAATTTTAACTTAAATTTGACGAATGGAAAATTTTCAAATAAGCCTGCTTTTCTACCAGACTTATTTCAGACAAACCAGGAATCAATTTTGACAAACAATTTCTCGAAAATTGGACAATAAACAACAGAGGGATTTTCGAACATGTTGTATTATTTTCGAAGAGTCAGTGAAAATTCATTAAATGGAACTCAACCTTAGGCTGTGTTCCATTTTCCTGATTTTTTACTTAAATTTGACATTTCGAAAATAAATTATAATGTTCGAAAATCTCTCTGTTGTTGATCGTGTGATTTTTGAGAAGAAATTTGTCAAAATTGATTCCTGGTCTGGCAGAAATAAGTCTGATACAATAACAGGTTTATTTGAAAATTTTATATCTGTCAAATTTAAGTTAAAAAATCACCAAATGAAAAACAGCCACACAGATTGAATCCAACATGCGTTCGATTTTGACGTTCTGGTTCTATGGGTATTTCAAGCAGAACTATACAAATCGACGTATCTTATTTTGTAAACAATCACTTCAATCGACGATTTGTGGCAATTGCAAGCTCACTCACAAAAACTAACAACACCAGCTAGTAGGGGAAAGAGTTCTCTACCTGATGATGGTCTTTGTTTGCGTGGGTGAGTTAGCAGTTAAGAAAAATCGTCGATTGAAGAGATTGTTTACAAAAGCATTTTTCGTCGATTTGAATAGTTATGCTTGATTTGGCCGCTGCCATACTGAGAGCTAAGAGGCACGTGAAGCGTGAAGTCGAATGTAAGGAATGATATCAATAATAGGAATTATTTTGTATATAACGCTAAGCTATAGCTATAAGCTGTCTTGAAATGAGCACTCATACATTTAGTTTTCGCTGGAAATCCTATGTATGAGTGCTCATTGCAAGACAGCCTATATTACATTATATAATCCATAGCCTGTACGGGATATTAGAGTCCTATGCTGAATCAATGGTAAAATTAACAGGTTGCTTAGATGTTCCATGTTGGTTTCAATCAGCGATGACATGTATACTGCTTTTTGTACATGATTAAAGTTGCAGTTTTCATGCAAATCAGCTGGACTAGATAATTTCCAAGTATAAACATGCATTGTGAAGGCTAGTTTGATGCATTTTTCAGAAATACAAAGAGAAGATGAATTGAATTGATAACGACCACAAGTTATGAACAATATCAATTGAACCTTCGCAAATCATGAATTTTGTGATAGCACACATATTATTAAAACGTTTGATAAAAACTCATTGTCCTCCTTTAATGTTAAGAAAAGTCATCATTGTCTTCCTTAATCACCAAACCTCAAATGAAATGTCCTCCTTTTCAAGTTTTTGATATGGTAACCCTAAATATGAAGCCTTCAATTACATTTTATGTCATATCTTATTTAATAATTGAGCTGCAAAAGATATTGGCAACATGCAAGCTCAGCTATTCTTTTTATTTGGATATTAATTAAGCACGACCGAAAATTGTAAAACTCAGTATTTTAACATGAAAACTCTCCAGGTACGTGGATGTAATTGTCGTGTTCCACCGGTGTTTCCATGGTTAGGCCTAGCACGTCTGTACTTCAGTACATTAGCCGAAAGAATGAATCGGGAACTGTACGCTGGGAATCTTACAACCTTTTTTTTATTTTTTTATCCACCACTTTCGCTCTTCATGCTCACACACATTCAACCTTTCTTTTCAGCTACCGCCAATCGAGAATTCGTTTCTGCTTTTTCTCACACATACATTCACATATAATTACGAAACGGTTCCTCTCCTCATCTTCCAACCTCTCATAGTTTTCTCGTGCGCAGATCGTGTTTTCTCGCATTGAATCGTAAGCAGGCTCTCGGCTCTCAATTCAACCGATCTTGTCACTGTGCATCCCACTGCTTCGCATTTAGATTATATCGACTACCAATGTCGACGCAACAATCTCGAATCGAGCTTTACATATAATATGGTCTTATTTCGCACATAATAATATTTATTTATTTTATTAAATTCAATGTTATATCGTGTTTGCTCATTACTTCTCTACAGTAATGTTGGTCTACTGTACTCAAATTGGGTCTATAAATGGATGCAACTACCGTGCCTATCGAAGATAACCCTCGATCTACAAAGGTCCGGCATGTGAAATCGCGCTTCTTTTTGACTCCTTATCATTCATACGTAACCACATTGTTGACGTCACTTTCACTTCTCGCGTAATGAGGAAGAAAGAGACAGTGGTTTAATTCCGTTTGATACAGATAACATAAACCACGATGCTTTTAGAATCAACATAAAAACCAAATATATCACACATACGACAAACTGTCAAGTAAATTCTAGAGTAACATGTGAAATAGGCCTATGTTCCCAATGTAAACAATGGATTTAAACGTCGATTTTGGCGCGTTAAGACTCATTCAGGCAAACCAACAGAGGGAGGTCACATTGCGAATCTCGAAACGAAAGACTTGTTGTACGAACGCTTGTATGAAAAAGTTTTTTCGCTTCGAGATGCGCAATGTGGTCTCAGCATCTGGTAGAGTAGGTTTGCTCTATCAAATGGTGTAGTTAGTTTGCGTGGACCTATTGTGATTCATAAGCAATAGTGTACATTCATTGTTTACATTCGGTTCATAGGACCTTATTACATGCTGCTCTAGAAGTAACAGTCCGAATTGGAATTTTAATGCACGATCGATGAGACCAACTCAAAATTGAATGGTTTTTCATATAACTGGGACTTCAACTATCCGGATGCTTTAGTTTTTTTTCAATAAAATTACTTTCAAACAAATGAAATATCGTTGCATTGATGTTCAGTTTACAGAGTATCATGCTTTCTAGTGCCCAATATTGAAATAAAATAAACTGAGAAATAAATTGAGATGGCTATCAGGCGGATAGTAACTATCCGGATATTCGGATAGTGAAATTTCAAATTTATTCTCCCTTTAACAGTTTTCTTTTGACGTATGACTACGTTTTGGATTTCTATTTGGGGGTACACTTTGTGAAAACCGAAAATGGAACATGTAGCAAATTAAGAAAGATTTTGAACGTTAATAAGTCAGCTACCCCTGGTCCAATTTCAATAATTTTATCACCAATCGATCAGTGTATACGCTACGCTTCAATAACAATGCTTCCGAATGTTGATTTTCAACAAAAAACTATTGAAAAACTGGTAAATGTCCAGCATTGTCCAAAAGCGTCGAATTAACTAACAAATCCACCAATCACCTACATGCATATGCTGCTTCCCCAGCACAGTCGTCAGAGAGTAGTAAGTAGACGAAACAAGTCAAAGTCGAAGTCCGATCCTCGGGCGCGTCATACTCAGAACCCCACGCTCCCAACGACACTGTGTGGTGTTCGTTCGTCGAAACTAGTAGCAGCAGTAACAGCAGTAGCAGTGCTTTCGGCGTGTGGCGTTGAAAATTGTTCTCCAGTAACAACGAAAGGCTGCCTGCAAGCAGCGAGCTGCAGAGCCCACATAAGCAAGCGTCCAAGGAGGAAGAAGCTGCGCCGCTATGCAATGGATCGGAATCAGTAGCTCTTCGTGAGTGGCTGCGGGTCGGTCATCTATACCAAGCGTGTCACCCTTGGTCCAAACGACATACAGCTTGACAGCCTCATCCGTGTTGAACACCCAGCTCAGAATTACTCAACCATCACTACAAAAAAATTGTTAAAGAGTATTATTTGGACATTGGTCAAGGTCATCAGTTCCCGCAAGCAGCTAGCTATCAAGGCGCAACCTGTCTATAGAAGGTGTGGAACTGTAGGCCTGAATATATTGGTGCAATTAGTTTTTCCTCGGCTTTCATTCCGCACGATTCGTTTCTTTCGTTTAATCAATCACCCTTGTAGTGACGTCGAAAAGATTGTTTCAATCGGCGCTTACATATGA